ACTTGTAATCGGTGTCATGATAGTACTGAAATGGGGTACGAAACGCCTGTAAAAAGAGGCAAGTCCATGAAAACTACGTACGTCAGCAGCGTTACGGGGAACAGGCCAAGAGCGCACTGCATCGATTTTTGTCGAGTCTACCGCCAAGCCTTTATCAGATACGACAAAACCCAAGAAGAGCACCTCTGACACACCAAACTCACATTTACGTTTTCCGGCATAAAACTTTTCCTTGCGAAGAATGAGTAAAACCTCCCGTAAATGTCGTACGTGATCGGTCGGTGACGAACTGAAAATCAGGATATCATCGAAGTATACCACAACGAACTTGCCTATGAATGGACGTAGTGCTTGATTCATAACTCGCATGAACATACTTGGCGCATTAGACAATCCAAACGGCATCACGAGCCACTCGAAAAGGCCCTCGCGAGTCTTAAATGCTGTTTTCCATTCATCGCCAGGGCGGATTCGGATTTGATGATATCCACTCTTCAAGTCAATCTTCCAAAAAATCGAAGAGGACCCTATCTGATCTAATAAGTCATCAAGGCGTGGTATCAAAAAACGGTAACATATTGTGATCTTATTGATGGCTCTACTGTCCACACACATACGCCAGGTACCATCCTTTTTTGGAATCAGTAAGACTGGGACCGCGCATGGGCTGAGGCTTTCCCGAATGTGGCGTTTGCGCAACAGTTCCTCAACCTGTCGTCGTAGCTCCTCATGTTCATGTGGACTCATACGGTAATGCGGTCGATTAGGTAGTGTCGCTCTAGGAACGAGATCAATGGCATGTTGTATGTCACGTAAAGGGGGAAGTGCTGTGGGTAGGTCAGTGGGAAAGACATCCGAGAACTCCTCCAAAATAGGATCAAAAGCTGACAGCTCAGCCGTGGAAGGAGACGGACACGGAGATGCAGCTACAATTGCAAAGGCAATCCCGCTCGAACGCAATTATTCTGTAAACTCCGCATAAGTACAAAGCACGGTAGTTGGGTGGGGAGGGTTGTGGCTGTCGCCTGTTTGGGGTGACGGCGGTGCTGGTAACGAAGCGTCGCGGGAGGGAGCTAACACGATATGGTGAGTTTCCCAAAAGAAGCTGTAGGTATTTGCAACGCCATCGTGAGTGATTTTGCGATCAAATTCCCATGGTCGTCCCAACAAAAGATGACTAACATCCATGGGTGCGACGTCAAAGTATGCTCTATCGCGATAGTGAGGGCCGATGGAGAAAGCAACCAAAGCTCGTTGGGTGATGCGGACGCTGACTCCTTCCTGCAGCCACCCGAGTGAGTAAGGGGCTAGATGTTCCTCCTGTGATATGTCTAATTTGTCCACCGCAATCTCTGAAATCACGTTGCGACAGCTGCCTGAGTCGATAATAAACGTGCAGACACGTCCATTGACCGTACACGTGGAACAAAAGATATTCGTACGGAGCCATTGAGCGTATTGTCGTCTTGGTGTGATGCATGATCTCCGTAAGAACAACAAGTGGCCCTTATCTCCGTGTGTGTGAGGTATCTCAACATCATCATCAATTTCCTTCTCGCCCTGAGAATCATACACGCCTGGAAAATCATCCGTCGTATCGTCGATTTTAAGTCCGCGACGTGACTGTTTGGGACACGCCGTCTGTCTGTGTCCCGGCTCTCCACACGAATAACAACGAAGGCCATTGGGTCTGTTGGAATGTCGTAACGAAAGGTCCTCAGATGTTGTTGCATCTCGTGTTGTTGGCGTGATTCCCTCACTGTTATCTTTTATCGGTGAAGCAGATGAACCTATACTCTGTTCATGTGCTCTGTTTCGAGAAGACCAAGTGGTGGAGCGAAACTGGTTCTCGAAAGATGCAGCATGCCGAAACACCTCACTTAGTGTCGTGGGATCAAACTGGGCTAACGCCGTTTGCAATTGCGGACGGAGACCGCCAATGAAACGAAAGACTAGCTGGATCTCACTGTCGTGTAATTCATTCCTTGTTAAGAGAAGTGAAAACTCCTCCGCGTACTCTTCCACGTTACGACTCCCTTGTTTCAAGTTCTGTAATTTCGTATACATTGTTCGATCATAGTTGTGGGGCAAAAACGTTTTCCGTAAATGTTTCTGCAGTTTCTCCCACGATTGAATCGGGTCTTTGCCGGTGCGATTACGGGTGGGCTTGAGCTGTTTCCAACATGCCGCCGCGTGTCCTCGAAAACGCATCGCCACAAGTGGAACTCGCCTCTCCGCCGGGACTTGTTTGAAATCCAGAACCTCCTCGACAGCGACCAGCCAATCGAAATCAAGTAGATCATCACCACGAATACCACCGTGAAAATCTGGGATATCGACTCGGAAACCCGATTCCCACCTGTTGTCACGCCCCTCCTCTCTGTTGTAATCCCTCTGGACGCGTCTATGTTGGTCATCCTCGTGGTCGTCAGGATCTGTCTCTGTTTGCCTTGCCGCGAAAGGGTTATCAAACGCACGGGTTAGCAACGTTTCACCCATCTCTTGAATGGAGACATGTATTGTCGTCTGAAGGTTCTCCTGCATAGCAAGGAGTGTGGAGCGCAATTCAGCCCACTCTGCTGCGGGAGCCGGATGGTCATTAGCAGGTCTGTTGTTAGCATTCTTTGGTGGCATGATGATGATACAGAAAAGAATAGGAACATTCCAAGTCTGATACCAACTGATAGAGTGGCAGAAGCGATAAACAAAATCAAATCAAGGACTCAAGGGAGTGCTCGAACAGATCTCGATTCTTGTTGAAAGAGAGAGATTCTCAGCTTAACAATGGTGTAAGAGTACTCCTCTTAGTGCTTTGAAAGCTCTGGTTTTATTAATTCAAATCAGTGTCCCCATTACAAAGTCTTCGAGCACTTTAAATACTCGCTATGAAGATAACAACGAATTTCTAATCCTAATCCTAAAGGGATTTGCAATTATCCTTCGAATAAGAAACAAAGAAGGAAATCAAGAAAAAAAAACATAACAAACACGTTGAAAGCCTTGTTAACGTGTTTGCATAAATCCCAAAATATAAGATATGCTACATCAGATATTCATATAAATAACTACAAGACAACGAACTAACTAGTATAACGCATTGTAAATAAGATAACACCCTGCAAAATCATTCAACAAAAAAACAAACAGTTATACAATAACAAAATACAAGTATGAAAAAATCACAAATTATATATAAACAATATATATATATATATATATATATAAAAGAGCAACATATACGAAAACACAATAAATATATCAAAACTACCTTGATAACCAGAAGACAGATTATCAGTTATTAATAGTCTACACAAAGAAACTCGTGATCATTTACATGAACAAAATACGAATATGAAATAATCACAAGTTATATACGCTAAAAAACAATATATATATATATACAAATATATAATAACAATATATACGAAAACACAGTAAATACATAAAACTTTCCCAGATAACCAGAAGACCAAGCAACAGTTATCAACAACCTATACAAAAAATCATGATCATGAAAACAGCACGAGTTAGGATCATTCACACGAACCAAACACGAATACGGAAAAATCACAAGTAATCATATAGGACACCAGAAAAACTATATATACACATATATATATATATATACAAACAAAAAAAAATAATATATTTAAAAACACAATAAACACATCAAACATACTTCGATAACCAGAAAACTAAGTAATAGCAACGGCAGCCTGAACAAAAGAAAAGACGAACATAAAAACAACATGAGTTATAATCATTTAGACGAACAAATAACGAATATGACAACATTACAAATTATAATTATTTAGGACGATATGAAAGCGATATATATATACAAACACAAAGGAGCAATATATACGAAAACAATAAAACCCAATCCTAGGTAAGACGAAAATTTAAAAAATCGTTGGTTTAAAATTTAGATTGTGAAAAAAGCAATAAAATTTATACATACTCGGTAATCTAGGGCGAACTATAAATACTCATTAGCGAATATATTCGACTGCGGTTCAAAAAAGAAAATCATCCTTATCTAACTATTTCATAAAATTTGAAAAAGAGAAACCATCCTTATCAAACTAATTCATAAATAAAACTACCCAAATAATTCATATATTCGAAAAAAACAATCATCTTTTATCCAACTAAACGAACAACCAATCTTATCTCTATCAAACTAACCATTTATTCGATTTAACAAACCGTGTATAAAACTAAACCAATAATTAGACCACAATTTTTATTAAAGATATAATTAAAAAAATCAAATCAATACATAAAGTATGATGAGAACGAACCTTTGACACGTCGGAAATCTACTTTCCGACTTCTCAAATAATAGTATAAATCATTCATAAAATTATCATATAATTAAAAATACGAAAACAATTATCAGCGACAACCACCTTACTGTTATCATTGTTATTATTATTATCGATATCGATACCATCACCAATCACCACCATCTCTGTTTTTACTATCACCACCATTGGGTTCGAATGGTGGGAATGGTGCTGATGCACAATTTATCTTTTTCTTTTTCCATTTTTTATTAGAAAGTTTTCTAAAACATTTTCTGCAAGAAAACATTTTCCTGCACGGTCACATAAGCTGTGATTCTCTAAACATAAAATGTCGTCACTAAATCGCTTAGAATTCAGAAAGTCTTGAGTTTCTATTTTTGACAATTTGGGTATATATGTCTCAAGTTATGTTTTTTTCTTTTCTTATTATCGTCTTTTTCTTCATTACCTTGTATTATTTTGTATAGATTGGATTATATGATTGGATCTCGAATATCATTATTAATTGATTAGCAATCAATAATTCTAACTTAATTTTAGAAGAATAAACTATTGTTGTTCGATACTAGTATTTAGCAAAATAACGAAACAAGAATATTTGTATGCTATGTTTGGTTTATGCTAAGTTTAACTAATATGAACATGAAAACGTGGATGAAGTTGAGCATATATACGGAAGTTGAGCATATATACGGAAAAGGCTACAGAAAGAAATCTCCTAGAGAGCAACGATAAATAGTGATTTTCAGCCGTTTTATTATTATTATCTAATAAGAGATATATTCTTTTGAAATGCTTTAAGCTTCCAAAATATCCGGGACAGCACGTATGCTATAGTTGACTAAACACATGGAAGATTAAGCCATAAGCATGCAGAGACCTTCATAATTTAAATACAGAAAACACAGTCTACGTATTATTGTCCTTCAAAGACATAGCTCCGCACAAATACATACACATAGATTCAAGGGCACTTGAGGCGGCCACCACGAGTGGTAATGGAGGCATAGCAAGGGCAAAGATGGTGGTTTCCGTGTGTACCAGGTGGCACACAGTTGCAGCGTGAACAACAACTGTTGCATGCTCTCAAGCACAGATTCGGCCTCGACGATTTGCTGCATCTCCCTTGGCATCTCCCATTGCAATCTACACATACATATACCTAGATATAAGGATAACATCGATTATATACATTAAAATACATATTATTGGGTTACATACCTATTTTAACTGCGCCTTCACCGCCTTGTGCGGTTTCAGTGGCATGAACCTGAAGCTGAAGAGGTGATCATTCATTATACCATCATCATACAAATGAATTTAGAAAGCTATATATGATTCAATTACACTAAGCGATTCTTGTAGGAACGAAGATTAAAGTTACGAACCTCATATGTGGTGAGACAGAAGAGTATTAGAAACAGAAGCAAACTTGTTCGGAAGATTGCCATATCCGAATATCATGCAATTTCTTTCAAGTTGTGGAGGTTATAAACTATTTTATCTGATTCTCTCTTAGGATTTTCGGCTATATGTTAATAAACTTACACTCTGGTATATTTATAGTGGGTATCCAAATTTTTTATTGTTTACAACTCTTTTTTTGCTTTTATATCACTCAAAAATAGAGTTATTCGTCCATTCACGTATAACAAGGTGGAAAGATAATATAAACTCTCTAAAACGTTTTCATCTAATACGAATTTCTTTTGGTTAATACTTTTATATTTTTTAAAAAAATATAACATGTTAAAACCAATTAAAACATGGTCTGAACGTAGACATGCATGTGTTTGGGGTTGTAAGTGTAATAGTGAATGCGTGCACATGACGATGTGGAAGGATATGAATAAGCCAGCGAAGTAGATTCCACATGGCTCACATTGGCAATGACCATGTCGTCGACAAATCCTAATGTCCAATTTACTAAAGAAGACTTGGTGGCAGCTGAAGAGCAAAACACTTCAATATCTTAACACACATCATACCATTTTCGCGTTTCCTTTTTACACGCGTACTAGATATGCAAACGTGAATCGAGACAAGTGAACCAACAGATGCTTTAATTAACGCGTGTAAACTTGTGTATCTCTGTTGTTTTATAATTTTTATTTAACACATATATCAGATCGACAAAATTTATAATATTTACTTTCTATGAAAATGAAAATGTTCTCTAAAAAAACCCATGAACTTTAATTATTATTATATTTTTATAAAAAAAAAACTTTAATTATTTAAAACGATTTTAGCCAATTGTGTTTTAGGGTTAATGATTTGCCTTCATCCTTATTGTGAAACTTTAGTGGTTATACTTTGTTTAACATATAACTGAGACAGGAAAAAAAAGAACATATCAAAAAAGACATGGCTGAGGGTGAGCCGTGCCTAGGAATTTTAATACCATAGACAAAAAAAAAATATTTCATTTAGAAAAAGTATTGTGTTATTCATCTAAATAAATAAACAAATAAACAAAATAATACTGATTCTTTTGCTACTTGCTCCATTCACTCTAAATCTTTTATATTCAGATGTAGAGCAAACTGGTTTAGGCATATACACATTGATCCCCAAATCAAGATCAATGTTTGATTTATTCAAGTCGCTCTGATGAAACCAGAAGAAGAAGAAGCTATGCGATACACATCAGCTTATCTTTGCTATAATTCTAAGTTAACACTCAAATACATAAAACAATATCAACGAACACTCAGCTTCAAGAACCAATGAACACTAGTAAAGGACTCAAAACCGAACCCAACACCGAGTGCATTGAGCAATACAATCTCCCTTACAATCAACGTTGTATCCCAACACTTTCGGATTCCGAAGCAAAAGATTTTTCAGCGACTTACCTGTAATCCCCCATTGATTCTCCAAGATCACAATGTTAGGTTTCATTTCCTCTTCTAGGCTACAACCAAGTACTTCAGGGAACTTCTTCATCACCTTGTGAAGATCCTCTTCCGATAAACCAAGACCTCTAAGGAACTCTAGTATTTGATTCACATTTTCGACTTTCGGATTCTCTTTCTCCCGTTTTTCGGTCCAGTAAGGCGAGTGGAGATGACCAAAGGCTTTTCCTAGTATCTTGTCTTTTTCCTCTACACTGAAATCGAAACAAGACAATGCTTCTTTGCATTTTTCCCATGTCTTTGGATCTTCACTAGAGGTTTCAACTTGTGTTGTTGAACAAACCACTATCCACTTCTTTCTCGAAACACGAAAATTCCTTTCTCCTCCAACCACACCATGATTCAGACTCAATGGTCTAACAAAATCACCCTGCGAAACGAATATAAAGCAATGTACCTCACATGGGTATTTATGATATATAAGTACACAACCAATGATTTGTTCATAGATATGTTTACGTACTGCAGAGTGGCAGAAGCATTTGGCAGAACTCAATGTTGCCAAAGGTGAAGCTATGGAGTTTCCTAACATCTCCTGTTTCGGCAGTAAAACCAATATTTGTAATCAAGCTCTAAAACAATGTAAGCCCATGAATGATTTCGAATCACATCAAGAACAGTGAAGCTAATAGTAACTGAAGAAGTGATAGTTCTAGCATTGAACAACCAATAGAATCTAATTGCAATCATACAAGAAAATCATGAATCTAAAGGTCCTGGAACAAAGGACAAAATCGAGTGTGAATTTGTTAAGGAACTTTGTTAAGGAACTTGCAGGGATATAATCTAAAAGCAGAGAGACTTGATGAAATGTGTCATTGTGGAAGTAGATTCTTCTCAAGTTTCATAGAATATAAGACAAGAGAAGGTCTACTCTTCTACATAAAACACAATGGGCTCTAAACCAATGTAACACCATGAATGATTTTAAATCACATCAAGAACAGTGAAGCTAATAGTAACTGAAGAAGTGATAATTCTAAATCACAGATTGACATTGAACAACCAATGGGATCTAAGTGCAATCATACAAGAACATCATGAATCTAAAGGTCCTGGAACAAAGGACAAAATCGAGTGTGAATTTGTTTAGTGAACATAATCTAAAAGCAGAGAGAATTAACGAACAGAATCATTAGGGAAGTATATTCTTCTCAAGTTTCATAGAATCTAAGACAAGAGAAAGTCTACTCTACATAAAACACAATGGCACTAAGACAAATGAAACCACATGAATGATTTTGAATCACATCAAGAACAGTGAAGATAATAATAACTGAATAAGTTATAAATGAAACATTGGCATTGAACAAGCAATAGAATGTAGTGCAATCATACAAGAACATCATGAATCTAAGGTCCTGGAACAAAAAAAACAAAATCCACTGTGAATTTGTAATGGAACTTGCATGAACAGAATCTAAAAGCAGAGATGAACAGAACCATTGTGGAGGTAGTTCCTTCTCAAACTTCATAGAATCTAAGACGAGAGAAAGTCTACTCTTTTACATAAAGCACAATGGCTTGTGATAAACCAATTCTGAAGCCCTTTCTAATAGAAAAACATCACAAATCTCGAGTAACCCTAAACCGAATTAGAGAATTTAAATTACGGAAAATTACAGATTTGGTGACGCAAGTCAAAAAAATTAGAGATTGGAAAATTAGTGAACGGAGACGAAAGGTACCTGGAGTGCGACGATACGCTTAAATCAGTCGCCGGAGAACCTAAATCACTGAATCAGCTGAGCAACCGGGACAAGAACACGGAACCGTGTTCAGAAGAAGTTTTGTAAAGGTGAGAGAAATACGAACCAACCATTGTTGAGGGATGATGAATGAAATTAAAAATGAGAGTCGCTTTCAGAATAGATAAACCGGACCAACTGGTTCAACCGTTGGTATTGTGATCCAGATGCGGGCCAGTCCGGTTATATTTTTTTATCTCGCTGCTATCTGGGCACGGAACGGCTAACCAGAAAAGCATAATATTTGTGATCTTGCGCTCCTTCCAAATATTTGTTTGTTTTTAAAAGAAAGAACTAGGCTTTTAATTCGTATTATTATGCGCAAATTTGTATTAATAATTTGGTTTAATTTTATTTGACTAATATTTTTTAAATTATCAAAACTATAATATATTTATAAAAAATTATTTTATATAAAAAAATAAAATATAATAAGTAGTTTTTCCTATTTTTAAAATTATAAATTTATTAAATAAAATTATAGTAATGACACCAAATAAATTATCCAACTTTGATGTGCATACATTTAATTTAGAGAATGATTAATTTTTGGTGTTTTTATAGTTCTTCATTTTTAAGGTTTATATGTTCAAATATATAGTTTTTGATTAAATATCTTATTAATATTGTGTATCTCTGCATATATAATATATAATTTATGTTGATTCAAATTGACTTTGTTAAAATGTTAAAATAATCGTGTAAAGCTTCTTCTTGCTTCTCTACCAGATTTTCTATAAATTTTAGATTATATCTCTATTCAGTTTATAAGATCTGTTTTATTTGCAGTCAACTATTTCATAATTTTTGTTTTTAAACATGTAAGATAGTGTGAAGTCTTCACATTATTTTTTTTTTTTTATCTTTTGTGTGTTTTATTCATGTTTTGATATAAATAGTTTATCTGGATATATTTCAATTTGAATTGGTTTCATAACTTTGTCATACTTTATTATTTAAATAAAATTTTAGAAGGTGTTACTCATGTGCTGTTCATGTTGACCAAGTTATAAGTAGTAACTATGTATAAAAATTAGAATTTATTACTTGTTATATTTCAAATATAAAGTTAGACCAACCCTAATGGTGATCTGCAAGGGTCTAATGAAGAGTTCTTAACAATATAACTGAATAAAAAAATTGGAAAGAGTGTTTAATGTTTAAGACCATGGTCTAAAATAAGATCTTTTTTTTTAGTTAAGTACGGACAAGTGACAATATGTGAATGGACAAGAAAAAATTAACACAGTAAATAATAAAAAAGTCTCTATAATTTATATGTTTCTATATATTCCCTCTGTTTTTAAAAGGTTGTTGTTTTAGATTTTGTTTTTATTTTTGAAAAAGTGATGTTTTATACTTTAATCAATATATTTATTTTTACAAGATAAATTAAAAACAAAGTATTGGTTAACTGTATTGAAAATAAAAGAGTAACTAAAAGTAAAAATATAAATAACTACTAAAGCAAGTAATTATTAGTTTTAAACTAGATGCATCCAAGGTATTAGTCTTTGTAAATTTAAATAATATGTTTGATTTAGTAACTCGTATAACCTACTGTAACTTTATATGGTTATTCATAGTTAATACCAATATTTTGAAATCATTAATTTTTTTGAATGAAATTTCAAACTAATTTTCTTTTAAAATTTTATTTTTTTGTTATTTTACATATCTTTTGATGGTAATTTTATATTTTATTTTAATTTATATAATTTTTTTGCATGTTTGATATATTTAAAACATATATATTTTAATTAGGCTCTTTTGTTATTGATTTTCCAAATAGATACCACATACTCCTCTGTTTTTGAAAATATGTCGTTTTACATATTACACACATATTTATATATTTTTTGTAACTGTCCTTTTTTACTTTTTTAAATATTTTTTTCTCACTTTTCAATCTTATATTAATTATACTCAATGTATTTTTTACCTTTACACATATATTAAGGCACATAATTAATAAATGTTTCAACTAATTTTTTTCGAAAAACAGAAAGCATTAATTACAAAGTTATAACGTCAAATTTTAACAAACAAAAAAAACTACAATGACATGTTTTTAAAACAGAGGGAGTATATATCAATCTAATCTCTTTTATATAAATATTTTTTCTTTGTTAAATTTATTTTTTTATTAATTTTTATTTTAATTATAATGCTGTTTTGACATGCTATAATTTATTATTCTAAATTTTATGTGGACTTCTCTCAAAAATTTATACAATCATAAGTGGCCTTTCTCTCCCAAACCTTGTTTTTTCCGCCGACGGCCTTTAAGTACTCCGATCTATCTCTCCGGTGGGCGGTGGTTCTCACCTCCACCGTGGGAGAGACCCTCTCACTTCCCTCTTTCTTTTGGTTTCTCTTTTGCAGCCTTTCGACTAGCTTTTGGCCGTAGATCTGGGTTTGTCGGTGTGGTTTGTTGGGGCTTCTTTGCTGGTCTCTTCTTCGAGCAGGCATCTGGTTCGCCGGTTTCTTTCTCCTACCCTTATTGCTTGAGGACGGCAGTAGTTTTGGTGAGTCTCGATCGACCTCTGTTGTTAGAGTTTGGGCGCTGTTCTGGTTTCACCGACGATTTCCGAGCTCTGTAGCTGTTTAGGCTTCTTTATGTTGGTTGCTGAGGACTACAGTTGTCTTTTCCGGTTGGTCTTCAGGGGACTTTGGCCTCCCGAAGGTGGTCGTTTTCTCCGATGCTACCCTTTTTATCAGTGTTGCAGCGGTGGCTCTTCGTTTCCTCTTCCTCTCGACAGCTCTTTCTCTGGTCCTAGTTTGGCTTGCTCGGCTTTTTGAAGCCTTGGGGATCTTTTGCGTTGCTGTTCTGGTTTGTTTGCTAAGCAATTTTGGTGGTTCGAGGTGGTTTAAGTTCAGATTTAGGTTTGCCAGTCGGATGGTATACCGTTGTGGAGTAATCTAATTGCTTTTCCTTGGTCTCTTTGGAGCTCTGGGTTTAGTTCAGCTGTTCTCTTGCGAGGAGGTGGTCGGCCTTTTGTCTGTAGATTTCTGAGGCTAGGTTCCGCGAGTGTCTGCGTGTAAGAGTTGTTGGTCCTAGTTGGCATTTTCCCAATCTAATCTCAAGTGGCTTGCTTTTTGTGCTTTCTCCCTCTCGCCTGCTTTTTTCCTTAGAGAGCTTGTCTGGGATGGTGTTTGGTTGCTATGCTATTGCGATCCTATGTTCTTTGCTGTTGTAGTGCTGCTGGTTGAGTTCTTGAGCCTAGTTCTGTGTAGTTGCAGGTTGGAGGTTTTAGTGGTTCAGGATCTCATGTTCTCTTGTTTCTCAGTGTGCTTTGGCATTACATGGTCTTCGCGAAGCTCGTGGATTGTTTGTAGTCATGTTTACCAGTTTTTTTGCTTCGATCCTTCTTGGATTTGCGCTATCTCTTATCTTCTTTTATTTTATCTTGGTCGAGAGTTATTTTCTTAACTTATTCGATCTTGTTAGTCTTCCGGTTTGTTCAGTATCCCACCTCTGTATCTCATCCCTGTATTCCTCCTTTGTTCACTATTAATCTTCAGAATATATAAAAACAAATCAAGCTAATTTTACTTTATACGATTTTTTTTTTGATAATTTACCTCTCTTGATATTGATTTCTATATTATTTTAACACATAACTGTTTTGAAAATATTGATATTTTTAATGATATAATTTAATTTAATTTTTTGTTTTTGGTACTTAAATTATTTTATATTTATTTCTTATGTAGTATCAGATATCAAGTCAATTTCTTTTTAGATGATTTTTTTAAATTTTAATATTTTGTATTATTTTTTTGTTAATTTATTTATTAATATTGATTTCTTAAATAACTAATTTAAATATCTTCTTTTTGTTAGTTAAGTTTTTTAATATTATTTAAGTTTTTTTTAAGCTTCTCTCTCTTCTCTCTTTTCGTATCCTTCAGAGAGAAGCTCTCTTTTGTTTGTTTAGT